GGTTTAGGGGTTTAGGGGTTGACGGTTTAGGGGTTTAGGGGTTAAGAGTTTAGGGTTTAGGGGTTTAGGGTTTAGGGGTTTAGGGTTTAGGGTTTGGAAAATGGAAAGGAAAATGCAAACTACTACTTTATAAGAGTAATGGAAAAAGAAAATGGAAACTGCTGTTTCATCAGAGTAACGGCAAAGAAAACGGAAACTACTATTTCAGAGGAGCAATGGAAAAATGGAAGCTACAATTTCATAAGAGTAAGGGAGAAGAAAATGGAAGCTACCACCTCATAAGAGCAATTGACAAGAAAATGGAAACTGCCACCTTATAAGAATCATGGGAACAAACTGGAAAATGACATGTTATAAAAACCAATGGAAAGAAAATGGAAACTGCCATGTTATTAGACTAATATGGAAACTGGGATTTTGCAATATGGAATACACTGGGATTGTATAGGCTTTAAGATTTAATTCGGCTATATTAGCGGAGTACAACATGGATGCCAGGAAGGTAAGAAGGTTGCTTAGGCATGCATTGCTGTCTTGTGCAGTTCATGAAGGTGAGGGCTAATGAAAACAGACGCCCTGAAACCCAAAACCCTTAAACCTTGAACCCCTAAACCCCTCAAACCCGAAACCGCAAACCCTAAAATCCTAAACCCCTAAAAACCCTGAAGCCCTAAACCACCTGGGATGATCTCATAACATATGGCTAGGCAGCCAGTAAGACAAGTCCCGCCAGATGAAGCGTCGGAGGAAGGTGGCATTTGCCTTGGGCGCCTCATCCTGAGCTGCTGTTAAGGTATTTACTTCAAGTTACCATAGTTTACCAAGTGAATATTAAGGTTTCCTTACTAAAGCATTTTGAACAAATTGCTTAATAGCAACCCAGCATCGCGGTTGCCCCTGTAGCTGGCATGCCTGCCGACGTACCTTACCGTTGTTCTGGAAGCCTCCCCAGTTTTTGTGTTCGCAACTTCCTTGATAGCACCCACAGCAAAGATTGGACACCACTGTTCAGACCCTAAACCCTAAACCCTAAACCCCTAAACCCTAAACCCCTAAACCCTAAACTCAAAACCCCTAAACCCTAAACCCAAAACCCTAATGGCCCTAAACCCCCAACCATGGTCCAGGGACTCATAGCCTGGGTTTTCGAACAGCTTCTGATTCGTGCGCTCCTTGCGGCGCTTTGCTGCCCAGTAGACGGTCCGAGCCGAAAGCTCGCCGAAGCGGATGTACCTGGATCATGGCCATGCTTTCACTTTGAGTGCTTTCTTTGTAAATCCTACGCCCTGAAGGATAAAGCCTCAAACGTTCATACCCCTGAGCTGACACCAAAATAGCCCTGAACCTTACGGTTTGCGTCAACAACATGTAAAGTCTTCAGTCTCATCATCACGGCACGGTGACAACTCCGACGTGTTCCGGTCGTGGCACAGCAGGCGCTTGCGACCCTCGAAGTCACCGCTGGCAAGGATGACCTATGTATACGGAAGGCAATTCAACTAGGGAAGGTACAAGTGGAGCTGATGTTGAGGATTAGGATTTTAACCTCTTGTGGACTGGTCTTTTCCTTACCATCCTCCGCCCCTAAACAACAGCCCAACAACGTATAGCCAAGCGTAATTGGGTGTGCACTTCTGTGCATGAGGGGGCGAAGCAATTCATGAGCTCGGGGAGAAGGAGAATTCGTCGAACAGACATAGGAAATGACATGACCTCGAAACAGCCTTTAAAAAAAATCATAAGCACCCCTGGTTGCACAGTGCCACGCCGAAATTCTAGGCAGGCAGAATCTATAGGCTTGTCTTGCTTCCTGAAAACCCGAAAAGGACAGGGAGACCATATATGATACATCTGAAAACTTCTTCATGTAGCGAGCTAATGGAGAGGAGGCCTCAAGGAACTCAGCCAATCGCTCTTGCGCGGCGGCCTCACCGACGCGCCACCATGACCTGGGGACTTTCAGGGTCCACTCGGTCACTGGGCCGTAGCCTTTGAGATTTGGGGCGTGGGTCCTAAATTTGGGGGTGTGCACGGGAACCAAAGGACAGAAATCTTCACTGTCACAACAAAGGCTGTCGCCACGAGGCCCACGAGGGTTATTATCTGCTTTCAGCAACAAATCAAACTAAAAAGCATATTCCCTGCCCCTGCCCCGCCCAAAAAAAAAAATACAGAATTCCCGCCTCATTCCGGCGGCCCAGTCTCCAGCCTTGTGGCGGCCGGCGCTTTGCCGGAACTCTCCGGTGAAGCCTTTACCTCGCAGGGTTTGATTCTGTCTTCGTCTTCAAGGGGTTGACGAAAAGACTATAGTATAGTATAGTAAAGTATAGCATAGAAAGCAACAGTATAGCATAGTATAATATAGTATAGTATAGTATAGTATAATCTAGTATAGTATAGTATAGTTTAGTTTAGTTTAGAAAAATAATCAGTAAAATATAATATAATCGTACCACTTTCTAATGGCAAAACATCAAACAAAATGTACAAAAAGAGATTTCGCATGCTTTGGATTCCGAAGCCTGTGAACTCTGTCACGAGGCTGGTGACTCGGATTTTCCGTTATACCATTGGCTGTGCTGCCTCTGCTAATTGATATCATAGTAGCAGTAATCATATTAGCAAAAAATACATATGATGATAATAATAAGAAGAAGAATACTGATAGTAATAGAAAATAGTGGAAATACTGGGACCGGTAGGTGGGATGTAGCATGGCTTCTATTCGTGTGCTGTTGTTGTCATGCTCTCGCCTCGTGTCTTGCCTGTTTGTTCAACTGGGGGTTCCTAATTATGGGCCCTCAATGGGGTAACTTTAAGGTATAAAACAACCACGGTATTGAGGGCCCACACCCCACCATCGATACCAATGCTCCGAATCAAAACGTTTCAGCCGTTAGACGGGTCCAAGGTCCAAATCTCGCGGATCGCTTGCTTGGTGCACCCGCATGAGAACCTGAACTCCTAAGCCAGGACTTGGACCGCTGGCCCAAAAGCTGAACTGCTGGAAAAGACGCAGGGATTCATTGTTCAAGATAAATATACAAACATTACCCTTGGAGATGTTGCTTGCAGTCTGCCAAGAAAAACATAAGTCTGCAGCTCTTCCGGGCCAAGAATGTCATCACGCTCGTTACAGCCACTATCGCTACATCTTTCACAAGTAAGCCTCTGCTGCATTTTGTCTCCACTCCAACGACCACTGCCATTCAACCAAAACTAAACTTTGAACCCTGAACCTTAAACTTTGAACTTTAAACCTAAAAGCCCCCAAACCCCCCAACAATCCTATAAAACCCATCCCACAACCCTTCATCCCACATAAACCCCCCCCAAAAAGCCCTACAGCCCAAAGCCTTTCGCGCCTGAAGTCTCGCCCAGGCCCAGGACCTCCAGGGCCTCGGA